CAATAATAGTTTGGGTACGGTTTTTAATGCTAGTTCTGATTAATGTTGCAAGCTGTTGACTATTAGTTGGTTCTCTTCCCAAATCCGCCTGTAGGAGGTCATGCCCGACCGACTGATAGCAACGATGCGCGATCAGGATGACAGACCCTTGAGGGCGCCGAGGCTTCTCGAGTGGGGCTGGCAATCGAGAGTGGTCACGGGATAGACCGAAGAGGCATGGATGCAAGGGAGCCCTTGGGAAGGTTGCCCGTCCTGACTACCCATGGGTCGAAGAAGTAGGTAGAAACATGAAGTAGGAAGGCGTTGAAAGTAGATTGGGTGTCCGCCCGCCCCCTAAGCAGGACGCAAAAGGGGAAGCCACTCGATCATTCAAGTAGTAGATTGGAATATAGGAATCCAAAAATACCTACTTTCAACGACCGATGGGTATCGGTGTCGACTGTACCCGCAGACATGGCACCGCGCTCGGCTCCCACGCGGCAACGCGCCCCTGCGGCCAGAGCCCCGCGGAAACACCACGAGGCACGGCACGGCGCCGCGCTGCATGACACCAGGGCAGCCGCGGCCGACGTCGTGCCCGCCCACACGGCAGAGCGCGGCACCGAAGAGGGCACCACGCGGCACAGCACCCTCCCAACGACCGAGCACACCATGGCGGCCGCCCGCGCGGCGCCGCACTGCACCACATGGCACGGGGCGACCGAAGCCAGACTCGTGACAGCTCCGCCACGAACACGGCCCATCACAGCACAGCGCCGCAAACAAAATCGAATGCACAGACGTTCATGCGGCACCTCACTGACCGGCACAGCACAACGGCGCAGCACGACATCGCACAATACCGCACCGCACGGCATGCTACCGTAAAGCACTGAACCAGGCAACCCACTCTCCACTTCCAACGACAGCACAACAAGCGTAGACCGGATGCCTGCTCAAGACCGCTTTCCCCGCTCGGCAGCCGTCCCCTCCCTTCCCAGGTTCATGAGGGTCATGGCCACCTCGAGGCTGTTCTGACCGAACAGAGACTCCTGGATTCTCAACGCTCTCCTCCCCTTTCAGCCTGCGTCTCGGCGTGCGCGCTTGTCCAGGGCGCCCCACATCCCCACATCCGCCTGAGGGTGGCTTCCCGCAGCCGACGGGGGGGGTCCAGCTCTGCACACGAGTGTGGTCGCCATCCCTCCCCTCCCCCCTCCTCGATCCTGCACGTGGCTCCAGGAAGAGGGGAGGCTACGCTGGCATATGATAGAATGGTCCTGCGAGGCAGTAGGCACCTCAGAGGCGAAGGAGTGCTAGGAAACTGATCAACAGGTGATCAACGAACCATACAGCTAACCATCGAACTGATAGGCTGGCTGGCTCGACATACTGCTACACTGCATGGTCAACCGAACTAGTTAATCCCACCAGCCCGTTGGGCGACAGGTGGTCTAAGGAGGGTCTCTTCCTTCTTCCACAACCCCTCTACCCGCCCCCCTCCCCTCCCTGAGATGTTTTGGTAGGGGGCCCGATGTGAGAGGGTCCGGTTTCGGCCCCTGGGAGGGTTTTTTTTCGACACCCCTCACGAGGATCGTGGCCCCCGAAAGGGGGAGCTACATCGAGGACCCCGCTCTTTTGACCGACCGCCTCCAAGATGACCCCAAGAGGCGCTCCAGGGCTCCCAAGAGACGCCCAAGAGGGCTCCAAGAGCGCCCCAAGAGGCCCCAAGAGGGCTCCAAGAGGTAACCCGAGAGGCACCCAAGAGGCCCCCGAGCGGCCTCAGAGAGTCCAAGATGACCTCCAAGATGGCTCAGATAGCCCAAGCTGGCTCACGATGGCTCCCAACATGCTCCAAGCTCTCTGGGTTTAGGTTGTTTCTATCGTTTACTTGCCCAACCCCCTTCTTCCCCTTCGGGATAGGGTTTGCGACTCCCTCTACGCTACCCCGGAATAATCCCCAACCTCCCATCGCCTCGCGAAGCCTCCTGGTGGCATCTTAGGGGCCTCTTGGGCCCGCTTGGGGCCTCCTGAGAGTCTCCAAAGGCCTCTGGGAGGGCTCTCTTCGGGGTGTTCTACGAGCGGGCCTCTTGGGGCCTCTGGAGACCTCTACGGGCCGATGTGGCGACAATAACGTTGTCCTTTGTTGGCCGTTTAGACATGTTGACGGGCTTGGCGTCATCTTGGGGTTCTCTTGGGACCCTCATGGGCATCTGGCACCTGTTTGGGTCCCTACTGCGCCCGTCTTGGAAGTCTTGGCGCCCTCTTGGGGCCGTCTTGAGGCGATCATAGATGCTTCCCCACAGGCCTCTGAGGTGAAGTACCTTGACGTCACTAGCACGACTTTCTTTGGGTGACTTGGGGCCATCGGGGGCCGATTTTGAAGCTGTCATGGCGTGCCTGGTCAGGTTTTGTCCAATGCTGCCTCGTCTAGTCTCGTCACATCTCGTCTGGTCCCACCTTGTCTTGTCGGGCCGTCTGGGGCCAAACATCCTGAAGGCGCCTGGGACAGTGGCGCGGACTGCAGGGGTTCATCCGCCGTGGTTAGGGGAAGCCCCTCACCTGAGTCTGAAGTCCCCCGCAACGCGTTGGGGCGTTGAAGATAACCCAAGATGGCTTCAGTACGACATCAGACATCAAAATGCTGTCCAGCATGGCACAAGATAGCCCAAGACGGCCCACGAGTGGCATGCTCCTTGTAGGATCCAAGACTGTCCTGAGAGATGGCTCCGAGTGGCCAAGGTGCCTCCCACGGACAGTCCCGAGGGGCCAAAACCCGTCATAACCTGAGCTTGCTGTTTCAGTGCTATGCGTTGTGAGCGCTTTCTTAGTCGGCGTTCCGGCAGTGGGCAGAAGGGGCGGTGGAAGGGGGAGGGGGTTCTGGCTCCAGACCTCTGCTTAACGCCACTGTTGGCAGCAGCGCGCCCTACGGGGGAGAGGCTCCACCTGCTCGAAGCAGGCGCCAAAAACAGCCAAGATCTGAGCCATGGGAGGGGGGCAGACGTGGGGTGTGCGAGGGCCCGTGCGCAGATCGGCAAAACAATATATGTATATATGTATATATAGTAAAAATATTATATAAATATGTCTCCGCCCGCATCCAGTGAGCCTCCGGGGCCTCGGCAGGGAGGGGCCTCGCAACGCCGCCCGGGAGCCCCGCGAGGGGCCCAGAGCGGCTTCCTCGGGGCAGACGGCGGCGACCCCCCCGCGAGAGCGCTGCACGCCCGTCCCGAGAGGGCGGCTCCGAGGGCCGCTTCTGCCGTGGCCCAGACTGCCAGCGCCGTGGGCACAGCAGGCACGGGGGGACGACGTGGCGCGCGGAAGGTGAAGGGGCCCAAGGACACACAAATAAATACACACAAATAAAAGGATTCCCCATACTTTCCCATATTTGGGGGGTTTCTGTCTTCCCCCCCACTTCCCATATTTTCCTATATTTTCTGGGGAATCGACGATTAATTGTGTCTGTGTGCTTCTTTCCTTCCTGAAGGAAAGGGGGGGGCACGTTCAGAGCGAAGTTCTTGGACGCGTGTGCCGGACATCTCGTGCACAGCGCAGATCCGGGAGGTCCTTGGAGAGGAGCAGGGCGCGAGCCGAGGAGCCCCACAGGCTCCTTGACGAGCACGCGCGTGCTCGAATGATGCTGGTCCCTCCCGGGGGTGGCGGGGACATCAAGCCGAGGAGCAGGGCTCGAGCCGAGGAGCCTTGGAGGAGCAGGGCTCGAGCCGAGGCGCCACAGGCTCCTTGACGCGCACACGCGTGCTCGAAGGATGCTGGTCTCTCCCCAGGGGTGGCGGGGGCATCTGTGGGAGGCGCTTGGGCCGATGTGGCGCCAGGGCGGCCTCGGAGGTCCCGAGATGGCTTCCACGATGGCCGAATACGTTCCGAGTTGGCGCAGGAGGGCCTCCGGCGTGCCTCCGAGATTCCCCAGGATGGCCCCAAGGCGGCTCCAGGTGGCCACGGCCTCCGCAGGACGACCCTCCGCCAGCCGAAAGACACAGAACATCCAAGGGTGCCCTCCCCAGAATGCACGAGAGCATCCAACGAGCACGAAGAACTTTAGGGTACCCTCCCCGAACCGATCTCGATCTTATACCTCGGTCCGAGTGTAGAAGGGCCCCAAGACGACCCCACGAGCACCAAAGAGCGCTCCAACTGAGCTCCAAGATACCGTGTCGGGCTACAGAGGAGCAGTGCGACTCAGCGCCGCCCCATGTTTGACCGAGGTCCTCCAGGATGGCCCCAAGAGGAGCCCGAAGGCCCCCGAGAGGGCCCCAAGAGGGCGCCAACAGGGCTCCGAGGGCTCCCAAAATAGCCCCAAGAGGGGCCACGAATTGTCCTTAGAGACCTCCAGGAAGCTTTCAGCGCGAAAGATTCGCGAAGACCATTTGGCTGGCTCCCGTCGTCGTTATCGTGGTCGTCGCCATCTTCCTCCCCCATCCTCTTCATCATCCTCTTCCTCCTCCTCCTCCTCCTCCTCCTCCTCCTCCTCCTCCTACATCTCCTCTTCCTCCTGCTCCTCCCCCTCATCCTTCTCTTCCTCCCACCTTGGGATTACCTGGAGATGAATGGGATCGAATTCTGCAAAGTTCCTCTTCCGTGTGTTCGCCCTCATCCCCCTCGTTATCCTTCTCTTCCTCCTCCTCCATCTCCTCATCATCCTCCTCTCTTCTTCTTCTTATTATTATTCTTCTTTGTCATCACTATCATCATCATCATCATCATCATCATCATCATCATCATCATCATCATCATCATCATCATCATCATCATCATCATCATCATCATTATCATCATCATCAGCATCATCAGCATCAGCATCAGCATCAGCATGATCATCATCATCATCATCATCATCATCATCATCATCATCATCATCATCATCAGCATCATCATAATCATCATCATCATCATCATCATCATCATCATCATCATCATCATCATCATCATCACCATACTCATACTCATACTCATACTCATACTCATACTCATACTCATACTCATACTCATACTCATACTCATACTCATACTCATCACCATCATCATCATCGTCATCATCATCACGATCATACTCACGATCATCATCTCCATCATCATCATCATCATCATCATCATCATCGTCATCATCATCATCATGTCATTTTCATCATCATCATCAGCATCATCGTCATCATCATCGTCATCATCATCATCATCATCATCATCATCATCATCATCATCATCATCATCATCATCATCATCATCTTCATCTTCATCTTCATCCTCATCCTCATCTTCATCTTCATCACCATCATAATTCTCCTCATGATCATGGTCAAGATCCTGATCATCCGCAGCATCATCATCATCATCGTCAACAGCATCATCACCATCATCGTCATCATCAGCAGCAGCATCACCACAACCACCATCAGCATCATCATCAGCATCAGCATCATCATCAGCAGCATTAGCATAATCATCATAATCATCATCATCGACATCATCAGCCTCATCATCATCATCATCATCATCATCATCATCAGCATCATCATCATCAGCAACATCGTCATCATCATCATCATCATCATCATCATCATCATCATCGTCATCATCATCATGAGCTTCATCATCATCAGCATCATCATCATCACCATCATCCTCATCATCGTCATCAGCATCGTCATCATCATCGCGCATCATTACCATCATCATCATAATCAGCATCGTCATCATCATAATAATCATCAGCATCAGCAGCATCATCGTCATCATCAGCATCGTCATCATCATCGTCATCATCGTCATCATCTTCATCATCGTCATCATCGTCAACAGCATCAGCATTAGCCTCATCATCAGCAGCAGCATCACCACCATCATCATCATCATCATCAGCATCAGCATGATCATCATCAACCTCAGCAGCCTTATCATCCTCATCCTCATCCTGAGCATCATCATCATCCCCATCATCATCATGATCATGATCATCATCATCATAATCATCATCATCATTATCATCATCATCATCAGCATCATCATCATCATCATCATCATCATCATCATCATCATCACTGCCACTATCATCATCAGCGTTATAATCATCACCATCGTCGCTATCGTCATCGTCATCGTCACCATCGTCATCATCGTCATCAGCAGAATCGTCATCATCAGTATCAGCATCATCGTCATCATCATCAGATTCATCATCATAAGAATCATCAGCATCAGCAGCAGCATCATCAGCAGCAGCAACGGCAGCAGCATGCTCCTCCTCCTGATCATCACCATCACCATCACCATCACCAGCATCATCGCCTTCATCATCAGCAGCAGCATCATCAATATAATCATCATCATCCTCATCAGCAACATCAACAACATCCCTCTTCCCTCGTCCTTCGTCCCTCCTCCTTCCTCCTCCTTCGAAGATCTTCGAAGGTACACATAGTTCACTTCTGGATATCATGGTTACTGAACTGCCAGTAATGAAACCGTTCAACATGCATGAACAGCTATTCGCGGACTGACATCCTCAAGTCGCCGTTGATGAGACTGTCAAAGCGCTGACCTTCGAAACAAATCCATGCGTCCTCGTTCATGGCAACTACGGGTTGTTCCGTAATGGCGAGCACCACAGAGTGACAATGTTCCTTCGGCCTCGCCCTACACGGCCCGAAAGCGATTCCAAAATGCCCTCGAGTTCCCCGAGTGGCTGCGAAAACTGGCCCCAGAGAGGGGGGGCGGCAGCAAAGGGTGAGGCCAGTTTGACTACACGAAGCGCCCCCCCCGTCGGGCTGCTGCAGAGCCGATCCCAAGTGGCCGCCCAAGGGCCAGATGCCAGAAGATCCAGTATTCAATTAAGACGAAGCCAAGACGAGGATGAAATCGGGTGAGGACAAATCGAGAATCTTTGAGATCAGGCGGTTCTAGAGGGTGTCTCGGGCGCCGCGGCCTTCTCAGAGCGTTCTAAAGCTTCTGAGAGCGTTCCGGAACGCTCTGGAACGATTTATCCTCGTCTGAGCCCGATCCGATCAATGCATACTTCGTAGTGCCAATGGGAGTACCAGAGTACCCCAAAAGTGCTGTGAACGAATCGCAAGAGGCAGCATACGAAGTGCAGATACGATGTGTATGCAGCTCGAGTCCTGACATTAAGTAGAAAAGCAAGAACTCCAGGTTGCCCCTCACTGTTCCTGTTCACTCAGCTATGCCCCCAGCCCTCCAGAAGCACTGGTTCGCCTTCCTCGGCTCACCAGACTGCATGTATGAAACAGCGATCCTCTCCAGGACTGTCACTATGAACGGGTCCGCCATTCTCTTGGCGTGGCCCAGCTCGCCCAAGAGCGCCTTCCGCAGGAGAGCAGGACCAATCGTCCCAATGTTGCGCACTCTTCTGGCAAATCCCAGTGATCGAAGAACTGGCATGCTTACCTCATCCAGGCGGTTCGAACGGCTGATCCGAAGACATGCTCGACTGCAAGCGCACTCCCACTGGCGGCGTCAGACAGGCCTCGCCCACGAGGGCGCTGAGACGAACCCCGACGGGCCCCACGAAGGCGCCCCCACGAGCATCCCGAGAGGCACGCGGGATCGCACCAGGCTTGCCATGACGGGGGCGGCCGGGGCTGAGCCCCTGCTTTGGATTGGCAGGCGCCCCTCCCCCTCCCCTGCCATCGCTCGGGCGTCCGTGCCCCGTGCGTGTTTCGGTATCGCGCGTGGTTTTGTTCGCAAGGCGGCCGAAAATCCGCCGACCCCGTCGGCGCGTGGAATGCGCTGCTCCTCGCGGCTGTTGTCCTAGTGCGTACACGTCGTCTTCTTTTCTGGGTCCGTCGCCGCTGCCCCCTCTTTCCCTGGGCCCTCGTCCTCAAGCGCGCCAGCCAAAGCGAAATGAAGCAACCCAACCAAAGCGACATTAACAACGTTGTCTTTGAGTCGAACGGAAGCCCCTTCCCTTTGATCTCTTCCCCGCCGGGAGGGGGGGGTCCCGGGGGGGTCCAGGGTAAAAATACCATCCCCCGCTTGCGGCTTTTGCCGAGGGGCCCTCTCTAGATGCGCTGGAGGAGGGGGGGTCGCCACGACGGATCTGCAAGAGCGCCCCTAGACGGCCCACGCCCCACAAGACGGCCCAAGAACACCTGAGGACGGCCAAATAGGGCCCTCAGACGGGTCAAAAGAGCCCCACAAGGACTCTCAAGAAGGCCCGGAGAAGCCATATTCAATGACTTTCGGAAAGGTTTTGTCCCCGCTCTCTCCCTTCCATTTCCGTCGAGAGCAGAGGCCTCCAGAATTGGTTGCTCCTACTCCCTTCCTCTCGCTGCTCCCCTCCTCCTCCTCCTCCTCCTCCTCTTCCTCCTCCTCCTCCTCCTCCTCCTCCTCCTCCTCCTCCTCCTCCTCCTCCCTGCCTCCTCCTCCCCCTCCTCCTCCTCCTCCTCCTCTCCTCCTCCTCCTCCTCATCCTCCCATCCCTCCTCCATCCGCCTCCTCCACCCTTCCTCTTCCCCCCCACCACTCCTCCTCCTCCTCCTCGTCTCCTCCTCCTCCTCCTCCTCCTCCTCCTCCTCCCCTCCTCCTCCTCCTCCTCCGCCTCCTACCACACCCCGCTCATTTTCATCTTCGTCGTCTTCAGGGTCGGCGGTACCGGCCGTAAGGCCTTCGCGTCCTCGCTGAGAAAAACCTAACCGGACAAGAACTGGAAGCGTCGCTTCATCCACGAAACTTGTCAACGAACGACTCGTTGAGAACCCCCCCAAAGAACTCTGAGACAGTCTGGGGGAGCCTCTCGTGGGCCATCTTGGCGCCCTCTTCGGCCGTTTTGGGGGCTCTCCTTGGCCAGAGGGCGTTTATTGGGGGCCTCTTGGGGGCCTCTTGGGGCGCTTGTGGGGTCCTCTGTGGGGAGCCCCTGGGGGCTCCATTGGGCCGTTGTGAAGCCCTCCCGGTGCGAGTCGAAGACGACATTGGTTCGGAAGCCGACTTTGTTGAGAACGTCCCGAGCGAAACGGCCATGTTTCAGAAACCTGACTGGACAAGAACAGGAAGCGTCGCTTTTGTCTGTAAAACTCGTCAGAGGATGTCCTCTTGAGAACGTCCAAGAGCCACGGAGACGAAGCACGAACGACCAACAGAAATGCCTGTGTCTCATGTTGGGTCTGCCGTGCTCCCGTGTGGTCTGCCGTGCTCCTGCGTGGTTGCGCGCATGCCGTGCTCCCGTGGTCTGCCGTGCTTCTGCGCCCTGCCGTGCTCCTGCTTGGTCTGCCGTGCTCCTGTGTGGTCTGCCGTGCTCCTGCGTGGTCTGCCGTGCTCCTGCGTGGTCCGTCGCGCTCCAACTAGCATGCCGTGCTCCCGTGGTCTGCCGTGCTTCTGCGCCCTGCCGTGCTCCTGCTTGGTCTGCCGTGCTCCTGTGTGGTCTGCCGTGCTCCTGCGTGGTCTGCCGTGCTCCTGCGTGGTCCGTCGCGCTCCAACTAGCATGCCGTGCTCCCGTGGTCTGCCGTGCTTCTGCGCCCTGCCGTGCTCCTGCTTGGTCTGCCGTGCTCCTGTGTGGTCTGCCGTGCTCCTGCGTGGTCTGCCGTGCTCCTGAGTGGTCTGCCGTGCTCCTGTGTGGTCTGCCGTGCTCCTGTGATCTGCCACGCTTCTGTGCATATATGGCATATGGCGTCGAAGACCATTCATCCGAGGCTGCATGTTCCGAGGATGTCTGCAGAGAGAGCCTTGTGTTTGAGGAAACGAAGAATTCGCGAGCAACTTAAACATAGCATTCTCCTGAGGAGGTTTGCAGCCAGAGCCTCACATTTTGAGAACCTCGTCGTAGGGCCGATCCTCCAGCATCGCCATTTGGGGATGATGCAGAAGGCGAAACGCTTGTTTCTGCAAGAGATTATGCTGGTAAACTCGTAGTTTGGTGAGGATGTCCATAACGATCGTCATTATCAGTCGTCTTGAGGGCTCTCTTCGGATCATGTCGGGGCTCGTGCTAGTCTCTTTGGGGTCGTCGTGATACCCTCAAAAATCAGATGCGATGTTGGACACGTACGTGTTTGGGGGATACCCCCGCGAAATCGCAATGTATAGAAGGCTGCTATGGGCCGCATTGACGCCTTTGCAATAGCGATTACAAGACGATGTTATAGCATCATGATTCAAAACGATGATATCGTGTTTGGCATTTGTTTGAGGATGTCCCTAGCGACATCGTTATGGTTGGCAGATTTCAGGGTGTTCTTGGAGCCATCTGGGAGTCATGTGGGGACTCTTCTTTCTTCGTTCTGAAGCACTTCGGCAACGATGTCGAACAGGTGTTGGGAACATACCAAATTTTGTGAGGATGTCCCTAGCGAAATGTGCACTTTTAGAAACGACGCCAGAGATACGATACAACTGAGTGGTCTGCCGTGCTCCTCCCAATTTTCTGAGGATCCCTCGAGCCAGAGCGTCGTTTTCAACATAAGAGGCAATAGAGTTATGTTGCTCCCATCGTACTGAAGGACCACATTCCATAAATAGTTTCGAGCACCCAGAAAGGTATCGAGACTGTGTCGAACGAGTATCGCCTCCCGGGGCCCGACACGTGAAAACCCACCAGATTCGGTATTTTCTTGGCGCTCGAAAGTCTTTATGATCAAGGCTGAAGCAGGCTGGAGCCGCATAACCTAAGAGGTAGCAGCGCAGCTCTTTGAGAGCCTCATGCTTCTGAGGCTGCCCCCCGTGCGGCTCCACGGCCGCAGAGCAGCTCGGCCCATGGCCACGCCGACGACCGTCTTGGGCCTTCTTGGGGGCCTCATGGGCTGTGCTGTGACTATCTTGGCGGGCCTTTCGGCCGTCATGGACGCTGCGAAGGGGGAATAACTAGTATGCTAAAAAGGTTCGCTCTCCGGAAGGAATGGGAAGTTTTTGGCCTGTCGGCTCGCGGGGGGGAGGTGCGCCTGGGCAGACGCTCGTGGCCAGCCCCTGTCGCGGGTCGCGGAGCTCCACCCGGAGAGCCACTCGTGCGGGGGGGAGGAGGAGGAGGAGGAGGAGGAGGAGGAGGAGGAGGAGGAGGAGGAGGAGGAGGAGGAGGAGGAGAAGGCGGAGGAGGAGGAGGAGGAGGAGGAGGACGAGGAGGAGGAGGACGAGGATTTCAAGTTTGTCGACCACGAGGGGGGGAAGACTCGAGCGAATAGCACTGCTCCTGTGGTCGGGGCCCATGCTGTGCGCCTCGGCCACCCCCCCGTCTGACCACGGACATACCAGGGCTTACGCTCAATTCAATGTTCCAAGGGGTTCCAGAACGAGCCTTGGTGGGCAGACCTCGACCTCGATCGACCTCGACCTCGGCCCACTTCGACCTCGAACTTGGCGTCGAACGAGTCGATTGACCTCGCCTTCGAACTCGACAGCCACCACGACCTCGACCGACCTCAATCCGGATCCACTCCGACCCCCTTGATATTCGAAATTCTGTGATGGAGCTTCCCCCTTAACGCACGTCACCCATCCCTTCCAAGAGGAGGGGACCCCGGAAGAGGCTGGAGACCCCGTGGAGGAACAAAAAACGCTACTAAATCTCTCGCCCCATCCATGCGTGAGGGTCTGGGCCCCCGAGCCAGAGCAGAAACGCCCGTCGTAGCATACGCTTTGCGACACCCGGATGCAGTGGCCTGCTCGCGGCTCTCATCCGCTGCTTCGCTTCACGGAGGTCCACAGGGCCCCCCCGCCCCCCCCGGAAGAAGTGGCCATCGACCCTGGATGCTCGGACGACGACGACGACGACGACGACGACGACGACGACGACGACGGCGACGACGACGACGGCGACGACGACTGGTGAATCCCGCCCCTTCCCTTTTCGAGAGCCTGATCCCTCCCCCCCCAAGAGGAGGCGGAGGAGGAGGAGGAGGACGAGGAGGACGAGGAGGAGGAGAGGGAGGACGAGGAGGAGGAGAAGGAGGAGGACGAGGAGGAGGAGGAGAAGATCGAGGAGGGGAGGGAATGAAGAAAAGGATCAGCGAAGTGGGAGCGGGCACCGCGCGCTGCGTTCGGCCGCCTTCGTGGCGACGAACCGCAGCGAGGCGAGCGGCGGGGCCGCCGGGGGGGGGCCTCCTCCTTTTCCTCTTCCTCTTCCTCCTCCTCGTTCTATCTCCTCGTCGTCCCCCTGTTCCTCACCCCCATCTTCGTCTTCCTCCTCCTTTCTCCTCCTCGTCCCTTTCCTTGTTCTCCTTGCCCTCCCCCTCCTCATTCTCCTCCTCCTCCTCCTCCTCCTCCTCTCCTCCTCCTCCTCCTCCTCCTCCTCCTCCTCCTCCCTCCTTCCTCCTCCTCCTCCTCCTCCTCCTCCTCCTCCTCCTCCTCCTCCTCCTCCTCCTCCTCCTCCTCCTCCTC